ATTCTATTTTTGTTGTTTAATACCGGTAAGAAAACATTTTTAAACACATTCTGGTTTTGTTGTTCAATACCGGTAAGAAAACATTTTTAAACACATTCTGGTTTTGTTGTTCAATACCGGTAAGAAAACATTTTTAAAGTTTTACATCATTAAATAAAAAATACATAGTTTTACATCAATAAGTAAAAACGATAGAGTTTTACTTTATTAAATAAAAACTATAGAGTTTTACATCATTGAGCAAAAACTACAGAGTTTTAAAATCATTGATGACAGGAAGGTGCTACGTCTTATGATTTACTAGAAAAATAGTAGAACAAATAAAAACAACCAAGATAAATATTCAAATGTTCTTGATAATTATCATAGCATTATAAGACATAAAATTCTCTATTTAAAAAAATTCTGTGCGTTTTAAACGTTAACTTACCATTATAGGTAAAATAAAACAATTAAATACGTATTACCGGTAATAAACAAAAAAAACAGAATGTGTTTAAAATGTTTTCTTACCGGTATTAAACAACAAAACCAGAATGTGTTTAAAAATGTTTTCTTACCGGTATTGAAACAACAAAAATAGAATGTGTTTAAAATGTTTTCTTACCGGTATTATACAACAAAACCAGTATGTGTTTAAAATGTTTTCTTACCGGTATTAAACAACAAAACCAGAATGTGTTTAAAATGTTTTCTTACCGGTATTAAACAACAAAACCAGAATGTGTCTGTAGTTTTTATTCAATGGTGTAAAACTCTATAGTTTTTATTTAATGATGTAAAACTCTGTAGTTTTTACTTAATAATGTAAAACTGTAGATTTTATTCAATGGTGTAAAACTCTGTAGTTTTTATTTAATGATGTAAAATTCTGTAGTTTTTATTCAATGATGTAATACTCTGTAGTTTTTAGTTAATGATGTAAAACACTATAGTTTTTATTTAATGATGTAAAATTATAATTTTTATTTAATGATGTAAATCTATAATTTTTATTTAATGATGTAAATCTATAATTTTTATTTAATGATGTAAAACCATAGTTTTTATTTAATGATGTAAAACTAATTTTAATTTAATGATGTAAAACTATAATTTTTATTTAATGATGTAAAATTCTGTAGTTTTTATTCAATGATGTAATACTCTGTAGTTTTAGTTAATGATGTAAAACACTATAGTTTTTATTTAATGATGTAAAACTCTGTAGTTTTTACTTAATAATGTAAAACTCTGTAGTGTTTATTCAGTGGTGTAAAACTCTATAGTTTTTATTTAATGATGTAAAACTCTATAGCTTTTATTTAATCATATAAAACTAGTTTGTATATAATGATGTAAAAATCTATAGTCTTTATTTAATGATGTAAAACTATGGTTTTTATTTAATGATTTTAAAATTCTATAGTTTTTATTTAATGATGCAAAACTCTAACAAACATCTATATAAAAAGGAACCTGTGCTTTTATTATTGTTCTTATAAAGAGCACGTTCATGAAAAAATTAAGATACGATTAAATAATCGAAAATTAACTTTAGAAAAACCATACTTACTGATAACGTAAATAGTTCAATTGAATTGAACCCTCTATCTTTTATTTTAAAGTTTTCACACATTGCACAAAGTTTTAAGATTGTTTCATTACAACTGTCGTTAGATAATTTTGTTTCCTTTTCCCGTAGAACGTTATACTTCTGGCTATCCTATTCAGTAACTCTAGTTATCATACTTGTTTGTTGCTTAGCCTCGTGGATCGGTTATCTATGGATAAAAATCAAGGTAAGAATATCATAATTTACTCTTAAAAACATACGAAACTATATCCCGTTTAACAACAGCATGATTCCGTTTCCTTTTCAAGTCTTACAATGGATTAACGATGGTTGTTAAATCCTTCTCAAGTCTTACAATGGATTAACGATGGTTGTTAAATCCTTCTCAAGTCTTACAATGGATTAACGATGGTTGTTAAATCCTTCTCAAGTCTTACAATGGATTAACGATGGTTGTTAAATCCTTCTCAAGTCTTACAATGGATTAACGATGGTTGTTAAATCCTTCTCAAGTCTTAAAATGGATTAACGATGGTTGTTAAAGCTCAGACAGCTTAAGCCTACATTGTAAATTTACTCATATTTACTTTATAGTTTCTTCCTTTCAAAATAACCCACACATTCCTGATTAGATCCAAATGTTGGATCACCACAGGACATTTGCATTACTATTCTTTGTCCCTTCTTGTAGAGGTCCGAAGAGGACAGTCTGCGTTACCGCACGGCCTTTGTTTCAAGACTCATCAGAAGGATCAACGAATCTCTGCCAATTCGTACTCTTCTCTTTATCATGATCTGTGTGCTGATGCTAGCTTGTGCAATGCTGGGATTGGTAAGCTACACCTTGTATGCTTTCATCAGTTTATTGATTACAGTTATCGTCTTCTGAGTAATCATAAGGAAAGTGTCAGAAAATGTAGCCCGTTATGTATGTATATATACTCTATTTCAAGAAGTTGTAAAGTTTAAATATTGTAATTCACTTCATAAAATGAAAACTGTGACAACTGATTGATTTGCTACAGAAGGATTTTAGCATGATCAAAATTAAAACAGAATGATACACACAACGAATAAATGAAGGGAAAATCATAAAACCACAGATCTACAAGTCTGTTTCTTGTTACAAATCCAGGTACTAATACGAGTAGAATGTAATAATGAAAGAGTAAATACAAACAAAGAATAAAATGAAGAATTAGAATTAAAAGTCTTTCAGCTATAAAAATGAAGTTACAGAATTATCTTAAATTATCCTTATATATATATATATATAATGGGTTATACGGGTAGTACGGTTATACGGTAATACAAGGATGTGATATTTTCCAATATTGAAAAAAATATTCTATCTCAAACCGAAATATTGTGTTTTATTTTTTTTTGAGCATGGATCAAACCGCTGAGCCACCAAGGAACAAATATATATCAAATATAAATCATTACCCCAAAAAATATTAATTTGAAGCAAAAAATACAATATCAGATTGGAATAGGATCCACACAATAATGATGGATCTGAACAAAATTTCACGGATCCCACAACTTGAAACAAGGTCTGTGATGGCGTCACAACCGAAATTATGTCTAAGTGTAAGTTTCAATATTTATCAGTTGCTGGATAACCTGCATTGTTTTAGATGTAATTACCATGGTAACGGGAAAAATAAACTAAAACATTCCAGCTCTTCGGTCTTTTGTTGAAGTGAAGAACTTTTATTTCAAGTGTCGCTTATATTCTCTTCATTTTATTCACTGGTTAAAACTTCAGTTTAATTATGTGTAATCGTCGATAAATATAAGAATTTATTGTGTAAATGTCATAAAACCTAAACAAATACTGTTTATGATAAAAATTCTTGTCTTTCTAGGGAGAATGCGTATATCTAGATAAAAATGATAACACAAATTCCACGAGTTACTTGTACGAAGAAACTACTGTTTCTGGTCACTCACGTGTACTCACAAATGAGCTTGGATGCAAGTATCCATGGGTAAATATCCCCTTTTTTAAACGTAATTACTTACCCTAAATATATATTATTTATATAAGATCATGTGGATGTTGATAAGTATCCAGTTATGTATGTAAATAGACAATATTACATGACACGTGACTTAACGTTCCTTCATAGTATTATAACGCCAGCTCTGAATACTCTGTAAAAGTGCTAAGCTAAACTAAATTATCCATTAGGTACAAAAAGAATTTCAAAAATTCGTTTACACGTGCTTTCGATATAAATACAGAATTTATTGAAAACACAAGAAAGCTACGAAATAAAGCTACAAATGAGTCAAAACTAAGACTGAATCCAATGCACAATGACGTTCACCTGAACGACACTTTATGCTCAAAATAGGCTAAATGACCAAATCATAGACTCCTGTGGTAACGTCTCTAATTTTAAACTAAGAACCAGAAGGAAAGCAATTAGTCGGAAACAATTGACGCCTGAGGTAGTTGCTCTCAACCTAATAACAGGATTAACTCTCACTCTTATAACGCATCCACAACTGAAAGTGCAAAGCGTGTTTGATAATACAACGTCTAGAACTCAGATCTTTGGATCCCCAGTCCTTTACCCTAACCAGTTGGATACACTCATATGGATATGTTTGAAAATTAAGCTCTGTAAAATATGGGGAATTGATCTCCAGTATTCACGTGCAATACGTAATACTAATATGCTACTTTAATGTATGCACACACGAATAATACAATATTGCATTACTAAGCACATACACACACAGAGCATTAATGGATAGATGCACAAGCACAGTCTAACCTATATAAAAGCCAGTAAGTGTCGCGTTACGTAACGTCTGATTTCTCGAAATAGGAGTCATAAAAGACAAAATGTTTTTACCCAGATTAAATAGTTCGATTACTGTCTGCCCGTTACGATTTTAGTGACGGGGGTGCATGGGGGCCGTGAGAGGGTGGGTGCTGTGAAACCTTATAAGTGTAGTGAGTGTTGGTGTAATAAACCTAAAGTGAAGACGTACTGTGGGATCACCTAGCCTAGAGCCAATTGTATAAAATTTATCATAAAAGTAAAAATATCGATTCATTTTCCAACTTAAATAGTTTCTGAATTAAGATATTTTCTGCTATATAATCAACGTTTATAATAATAAACAAAGCTCTTCAATCAAAGGAGATTCTAAATTAAGAAATCATTTTTTTTTCAATTTTGTTGTCTATACATTTCATTTTATTATTTCAGTACATAGATTGTTGTTGCTAAGCAACATAACATAAAAGCCATTGTTGGAACGTAGTGTCACCAAAACGTACTGGCTTTTCTATATATCAGTAGTTGTGAATCTAACTGATTTTTACCAATAATTATTTTATGAATACGCCACGAATTCATTTCATGAATGATCTTAATTTTGATTGGCTTACAAAGGAATTGACCGACGTTTGACTGCCTCGTTATTGGTCACAAAACAACAACAGATGGCTTCTCTTTACCCCTCTCATCATTGTGGTGTGGGCTGTACCTGAAGTTTTTTTTTGGTTTAAGCTTACTTAAACAATATTGTGTGAACTTGGCAGATTTAAAGATCTCTCAAGTAGTCAGCAGGAGCTGAGACATAAGGGACAGCCAGACTACAGAAAGAAACGGCCCCTGTGGGACAAAAGGTCTTTCAGGGCGGCAGGGATCTATAAATCCAAAGCCTGAGAATTCTGATGTGGGGGGAAAACGGGAGTGCCCCGAGGAAACCTTTCTTCGTCATGCTTGATTTCGCAACATATATTATTTCAGTTAACTATGAAATGTGAGGTTAGGTATACTATGGATTGAGGTGGGTAATACTTGCCGCGTTAATTTTTATGGGCTGTATAATAGGAGTAAAATATAGAACACTAAAACTGGTACACACACATTATGATAAACCAATGATAGTGTACACACATATTATAACAGACCAATCATAGTGTACACACACACATTATAAGAGACCAATGATAGTGTACACATATATTATAACAGACCAATGATAATGTACACACACATTATAATATACCAATGATAGTGTACATACACATTATAATATACCAATAATAGTGTACATACACATTATAATATACCAATAATAGTGTACATACACATTATAATATACCAATAATAGTGTACACATATATT